TTGGTCTTCTACTGCTCTGATATATCCCTACATGGTTTGTTAACGGACCCACTGGATTGGGAGCACTTCACAAATCCTGGATGGATAACAATACTGTGCAGATTTGCAATGATGGGGTCCTCCTGCCTTTCAAAGCATCTAAACAGATTCTTCGCAGGTTGTATACACTAGGGTAATAAATTCTGGTCACATTTTTGGACTGCCTCTGGGTATTCTTCTGGAAGAAATAGTTCAAGTTCGAAGAATTCCTCTTCAAACGGGGAATTCTGTGGGCCAGCAATGTCCGTATGAGAATAATGAGTGCTGTTCTTATTTGATTCTGCCCGCTTGAACTGGTTCTGGAAGCAAATTCTTGGTTTCTTTGATAAACTTCAGGGCATCCTGGTTATCTTGTTTTTCCAAAGGTATTTTTTTATGGCATAAAACAGCTCCCCTCATCCCCCAATGGGAAAAAAAAAAAAAAAAGACATCTGCTTAAGACAGATGCCATAACTGTTTTGTACTGATGCAGCCTGGGTGGGGAATTGGAAGCACTCTTAAAGATGAAGGTAATTCTACTACTGAATGATATCGGTATCATTACTTCTTGCACTGTATATACACATATATAATTTTCTAAAAAAATATTATATTGTATTTTCAGTGAAAGTTTACACAGCAAATTGATCCCCATTTAACAATTTCTACACAAATTGTTCAGTGACATTGGTTACATTTTTCACAATGTGTCAACATTGTCATTAATTCTGATTGCTCTATTTCCAGTAATCTCGTTTCCCTGGCCCCTTACCTTCTCATCTTTGCTTTAGAGTAATTGTTGACCATTTAGTTTCACATAGATGATTTTTTAAAGGACTGCAGTACTCACAGGTGATATTCTTTATTTTATGAGCCAATCTGTTATTTAGTTAATGGGTGATCTCAGGGGATAGTTTCAGTTCAAGGTTTCAACGGTATCTCAGGGTGATAGTCTCGTGGAGTCTCCTAGTCTCAACCGGTACAGTAAGTCTGGACTTTTTAAGAATGTTAGTTCTGTTCCACATTTTGTTCCCATTCTATCAGGATCCATCTATTGTGGCCATTCTGATCAAAACAGTCGGTAGTGGTAGTTGAACACAGTTCTTTTGGTCTCAGGGTAGATGAGGCCGTGGTTTGCATTGACTAGTAGTCCTGTAGATTAGTTTCTTCTCTCAGTCTTTGGTTTCCTTCTTTCTCTTTTGCTTTGGATGAGTAGAGACCAGTAGTGGTATCTTAGATGGCGCTGGCAAGCTTTTAAGACCCTAGACACTACTCACCAAACTAGGATGTAGAACATAAACTTTATGAACTATATTATGCCAATTGACTGAGTTGTCCCATGAGACTATGCTCCTAAGCCTTAAAACTCAGAAAACTAATCACACAAGGTGTTTAGTTATGTCTAAGAAGTATCCATAACTGTGCACACTATGTGGTTTATTATATATATGAATATACATGCATGCACACACATAAATGTACATACACTTACATATAGATACATCTATCTGTGCACACGTGTACACACATATACATACTCATACACATATATGTGTATATACATATGTAACCATACATACACTTCTTGGTTGTTGTTGGTATTGTTGCAAAGTTATAATTGTCATATTTTTTACCAAAAACGTCTTTTTCTCTTGAGTACTTCTTAGTGATGTAATTTATCTTGGTCAGGTTGTGCATACATCACCCACATTCAGTGCTACCTTTCCCATCACCAAAAATAACGAAAGTCTACTATCTAGACAGTGATTCCCTCTCCCTCCCCACCCATCCCTGGTAACCACCAATGAATGTTAGTCTCTGTATATACACCTATTCTTATCTTCTTGTAAGAGTGAGATCATATAACATTTGTCCTTTCGTGATTGACTTATTTCACTCAGCATCGTGTCCTTCAGATTCATCCACATTATTTTTCGAGAATTCATCATTATTCTTTATGGCTGCTATGAACTATATTTTAGCAGTTATGTATATAGACTTTTGGACTGGCTCTGAGTTCAAATCTCAACTTTGTCACTATCTAGTCATGTAACCTTGGCAAGTTACTTAAAGGGTCTGGGTCTCAGTTACCTCATCTTTAAAATGGGAATAATAAATAGTATCTACGTCATAAGGTGACTGTGAGATGAAATAATATACATAAAACTCTTAAAATATTATCCAGTACATAGTAAGTGCTTTATTATTATTATTGTTATCATAGTCATTATTATTTTTTAAGGAATGACAAAATAAGCATTAGATTTGGGTTAGGAGGGCACTTAGAGTAATGCTGTGAAGATTATTTGGAGTGTTTCTCATCCCATCCCTTCAATTTTCATTCAACAGACTTTTTTAAAATTAAGTGTCTACTATATAAGACACATTGGGCATTGAAAGACTAATATGACATAGTCTCTGAACTCAAGGTATGTGTAATCATTGGCAATACAGACAAGTTCATTCAGCAAGTGCCATAAACATGGAGTTTACAGTCTCATGGTGGAGATAATCAAACAAATCATTACAAACTCTAACAAGCACCACGAAAGGGTCTATCAGGGAGCTCTCACCTAACTGGGTAGGGAGTGGACAGAGAAGGCTTCCTTAAGGCAGAGATATTTAAGTTGAAATAGAAAGTACATATAGCAGAAAAGTAACTGGAGGAAGGAAGAACATTTAAGGTGGGAAAAATGTCATGGGAAAAGGCTTTGAGGCAAGGAGGATCATGGGATGAAGACACTGAAAGGCCAGAGTGTCTGAATATCAGAGAACATGATGGGAAAGGAGATGGGGCTGGCGAGGGGGGCAGGGGCCAAATAACACAGGCCTTGGAAGCTAGGACAAAGTTAGTATTTTGAGTTCAGAGGAAAGCCACTGAAGGTTAAAACAGAGAAGCGAGATCATATGGTTTGTATTTTTAAAAAGGCACTCTGATTGCTTTACATAGAATGGATTGCAGTGGAGCAGAAATGGAAGCAGGGAGAAAATTTATGTAGTCAGTTTCATCAGGCAAGAAAAAAGATGGGGGCTTGGGCGAGGGTGGAAACAGTTGGGATGGAGAGAAGTGAATGGATCTGTGGTATGTTTTGAAGGTGAAGGCAACAGGATTTGCTGATGGATTGGGTTGGGTTGGGTTGGGTTGGGTTGGGTTGGATTGGATTGGATTGGATGAAAGGTTGGACTGGGTGAGAGAAAGAGAATAGGAAGACCCATAGACTTTTGGCTTAAGCCACTGGGTGGTTGGTACTGCTGTTTTCTAAGATGGGGAAGGCTAGGGAGAAACATGTTTGGCTGTGTTCAGGGAATCAAGAGTTCTGTTTTGGCCATGTTAGGTTTGAGATACTTATCAGTCATTTTTGTGACAATACCAAGTTGGATTAAGTTTGTAGTTCAGGAAAGAGGTCCAGGCTGGAGATAGCGGAAGTAGGAGTCATCAGCGTATTATGGACTAAATAAAGTCACCTAGAGTGTAGGTGAGAGAATAAGACAAGGAGAGTGTCCTGGAACACTCCAAAACATAGTGGCCATACAAAAGAGAAAGAACTAGAAAGGGGACTGGGAGAAAGTAACCAGTGAATTGAAGGAAAATGAGAAGAAAATGTTCCAAGAAGGGAGGGGGCAACTGTGAGGGATGCTGCTAAGAGCAGAAGTGTCATGATTGGGTTTGGTGATAGAGAAGTCCTCAGGGATCTTGTGAGAGCAGTCTCGATAGAGTGGTGAGAACTGAAGCCTTATTGACTGGAGTGTGTTAAGCAGAGAAAGTGATCTGAGGCAAGACTGCCAGCAGAGAATTCACTCCCGAAGCTTTGCTATGAAGTGCAGCAGAAAAAGGGTGTGCGTACGATATTTGCAAAGTCACTAGAGCAAGCAAACAGAGATGAAATAAATGTGTTTTCTGTACAACATTTCTGGAAGTCCTAGAGTCGATTGTAGGCTTTGGGGATGTGCTTCCCGTGGACAGTCTAGTTAACATTCTGCAGACTTTCCAGCTGCTTGACTCCCTGTTTTCGGCACTGGCTGAGATAATCTGCTTATCTGTGGTTCATTGCCTTGAAAACATAAATCTAGGCTGATGGAGCAACTGGGTTTTTCCCCGTTATCAGCTAAACTGGTAAGAAATTCACAATCGGGAAGGGGAAGCTTGTTACTCTAGACTACAACACAGTATATGGGGAAGGCTAATGGGAAAAAAAGAGGAGATGGGGGTAGTTTAAGATTACAGGGTAGCAGAGCAGACAGTTGATACTCAAAAATTTGGGGAATGGGGTGGGGTGGGGCGGGAGACGGCAATGTATTACCCTGCACAATACTTTGCGGGGTAAAGGCCTATGCGGTGATCGGAGCTGGCTTCAAACCACAGCTGTGCTCCGTATCGGCTGCATGAGTTTAACGAAAACATTTAATTTTTTTTGACATTTGCTTTCATTGTTGTAAAACAGAAATTGCTTAATCCAGTCTGTCTCACAAGAGTTATGAAGGTGAAGGTCAAAGGGGTAAGTCCAGACCCCTTGCTGTGGAGTAGCTTCTAACTCATAGCAACCCTAGAAGACAGAGTAGAACTGCCCCGTAAGGTTTCCAACACTAATAGCTACCCTACAGGACAGAGCAGAAGCGCCCCATAATGTTTCCAAGGCTGTAATGTTTACAGTCACATCTTTCTCCCACGAAACGTCTGCTGGTGGTGGGTTCCAACTGCTGACCTTTTCGTTAGCAGCCCTGCACCACCAGGGCTCTCCGAAGATGACAGTAGCCCCAAATAACATAAGGCATTTGCCTGTGTTCCACCAAAAGAATAGCACGCTTACAAACGCAACGAACTGAGTAGCATCCATTACCTTACGGCCCTGTGAAGCTCTGCCAAGAATAAAACAGCACGTGGACAGTACTGAGCTTTTGAGCTTCAGGGCTGGGGGTGGAGCCACAGTCAGGCAAAGGGCCGACAGCGGAGCTGGGTGGGTGGGGCTACAGCGCCTCGAGGCTCTGGAAGCTCAAGCTCGGGCTGTGCCCCGACAGTGCGCTTGAACTTGCCGGCGTTCTCCAGGCGAGGCCGGGAAGATGGTGGAAGCGTGGTATATGGACGAGTCCCCGGACGACCAGAGGAAACCCCACCGACTGGAGCCCGACTGCCCGGTCGGCCTGGAGCAACTGCGTCAGCTTGGTGTCTTTTACTGGAAAGTACGTTGGGAGGAAAGGAGGAAGACCGAGTGCAAGAAAGGGGGGCTGGAGTAAAGCTCGACCTTTGTAACGCTACAAGGCTACAGATACCGGCCTCCCCTCTCCATGGCAGGCATGCGAGGTGCGTCCTCCTGCAGCAGCTCCAAGAGGGGCGCATACAGCAAAGGGCAGAGTCCCCGGCGGGCGTTGGAAGGCCGTCACGTTAAGTCTCCTCTCCAGGTTTTCTGTGTTTTGCGCACTCCCCAGCTTGGCACGTGGGTGGGCCGCAGCGGCCGTGACGGCGCAGGCGCAGGGCTGGGTTGGGGGGGCGGTGGCCGCAGTCGTGGCGTCCAGGCGCGCTGCGCATGCTCGCAGGGGGCTGGGCCCGACTGCCGCGTGGGGAGGGGGTGGGTTTGATGGCGGGCGGGGGGCAGGGTGAAGGATGGAGAATTTGTGTGTGAATTGCTTCGAGGCTTACGGGGTCCTTGTGTTAGTCTGACGCCCCCGGCCAGCTCGGCTGCTCATCATTAAAATGCCCCGGGATCTCTCGGTTCGGACGGGTGGGTTACCGGAAGTGAAGGAGCAGCCTGGCCTCATTGGAGTTGCCTTCGAGGGGAGAGAGGAGGCGAGCACCCCGAAAATGAGGCAGTCAGTTCAGTGTTGGCGCTGTTGGAGTCAAGGGGGAGAAGGCAATCACGGAAGTCCCTAAACAGGGCATGGCCCTTCTGGGAGGAAATGGGGCTGGGAATAGCGGAGAGGTCTTTCCAAATGTTAGCGGTGACACCTGGGCAGGCTGAGTATAGGAGACCAATTAGGGAGAGCCCCCCCGCCCCGCGCTGTTAGGGAAGTAAAGCTGGTAGTGGGAAGAAAGCCGGCAGACGACCTTAGGAAATAGGAAATATGGGAAGGATTTGACAGGCTCTATTTCTCTTCAATACACTGGGTATGCTATTGCGCCTTAATTTTTTACAATGTTGTAAAGTTACTCTGAGAGGTTCGCTTACCAAATACGGATCTAGTAAACGGGAAGAACATAAATAATTTTTTTTCCCCCAGAAGAAGGCCAGTATTATAAGCATGGGATGAAGAAGCTGGGTTTAATCTCCAGTCTCTTCGTAGACCAGTGTTGTTCCTGAACCTTTTATACAAATGCTCTGTATTTTAGTTTTAGAAAAACTTTGCATGCTTTCAAGCAAGAGTAAAAATTAGTGTTTACGTAATACTTTCCCTGATAATCTCAGCTTGTTTATTTTTAAATGGCCATGAGGTACAAAGGTTTATTGCAGTGGCGAGGACCAGGCGAGGTCTGAGATAGGCTGAGAGGTGACTCTGAATCAATTCTTTGGGTGGGAGTTTTGCTTTTAGCTAATCTGCGTTTTGAGTGAACAAAATGAAACGCAGTGTTCCAGGTATTGCTGGGACACCTACTAAAGATTCATGTGTTGTTGGAGGATCAAGTTTAACTCAGAGTCCCGTATTTGAACTGGCAACCCTACTGGAGAAGGTTGAGTAGAAGTTTTGGTAGAAGCTGGCTTGGGAGCCTCGGTGTTGACTGACCTGGGAACAGGCTGACCCACCTCCTGTCTCCATATAAGGATGGGGGAAGTCGAGAAGCAGACAGAAGTAACTAAAACAAGGATGATTCTGGCCAAGGGCTGGTGGGTGTAGCTGCGCTCCCAACCAACCAGTTGCTCTTGAGTGGATTCCTACTCATTGTGACCCTGTGTGTGTCAGAAGTAGAACTATGCTCCATAAGGCTTTCTTTTTCTTTTTCTTTTTTTAAATAATATTTTGTGTTTTTGATGAAGGTTTACACAGCAGTTTAGGTTCCCATTCAACAATTTCTACACAAATTGTTGAGTGACATTGGTTACATTCCTCACAATGTGTGAATATTCTCATTTCAGTTCTGGTTGTTCTGTTTCCATTAACCTAGTTCCCCTGCCCTTTTACCTTCACATCTTTGTTTTAAAGTAATTGTTAACGTTTGGTCTCACATAAATAATTTTTTAAAGGCGTACAGTACTCACGGTGATAGTCTTTATTTTATGAGCCAATCTTATTTAGCTAAAAGGTGAACTCGCGTTAGTTTTGGTTCAAGGTTTAAAGAGTATCTCAGGGCAATGGGCTTGGGGAGTCCCCTCCAGTCTCAACAGGCCCAGTAAGTCTGGATTTTTTAAGAATTTGAGTTCTGTTCCACATTTTTCTCCCATTCTGTCAGGACCCATCTACTGTGGCTCTGATCAGAATGGTCAGTAGTGGTAAGTGGGCACCATCTAGTTCTTCTGGTCTCAGTGTAGATGAGGCCATCCATGCTGCATATGGTTTTCAATGGCTGGTTTTTCTGAAGTAGATTGCCAGGCCTTCCTTATGAGGCACCTCTGGGTGGCCTCTAACTGCCAACCTTTCAGTTATCAGTGGAGTGCATTAGCTGTTTGCTTCCATTTTTTGCCAAATCCTGACTCTGAAGAGACACTGACTTAGTTCCTGATTCAAGTGCTCTCTTGGTGCTCCTGTTTCCTGTAGCTTAGCTCCTCCCCAAGTGGGGGAAGAATTAGAAAGAGGTCTGCAGTCCTCACCAGCTGCCCTTCAAACCCATCCAGACAATGGTCAGTTCTAGATGTTAGCTCCATGGGTTGGCAAACCTAGCTCCACCAAGTACCTGGAGGCACCCTACTCTACCACCAACCCTCCTGACCTAAGGCACTCAGCTTTCTTCTCTTTGGGCCAGGAAGCACACCACACCATCTCCTGCTGGTCTCTCCTACGACCATTTCTTTGCCACTGCTTCTTCCTGTCTTCAGTGTTATGGCTTCCCAGCACAGGTATCTCGGGTCCAAAGAACATGCTCTGCTTTTGGCCGTTCTTCCTTGGTGGTGGTGCGATCCTCTATGCTCTGGAATTGGCTCTCTTTTAAGCTTAGTGGGATGGCAGAACTGACGAATCCCCTTGGTGGGTCACAATTACCTTATTTGCACAGTCCCAGCGAATCACTTGGGTGGGAACTGCAAGACCATGGTGAGAAAATGCCACACAAAAGCGATGGCACTGCAGTGGTGATAAGACAATAGCAGGACCCCAGTCTTTAACTTAAACCAGGTAACATGCATCATGGAGCATTTCTTTCTTTGTTTTACTTATTTATTAGCCAGCGGAGAAAGCTGTTGTGCCAGTTTTTCTATCACATAACTAGAGGAAAGGGAAGTTGGACGTTATCCTGGCTTTCCTTACTATGGCCAAGGCCTATAAGATTTAGGGGGTCTCCAATGGAACAGAATTGAGAACCCAGATGTAGATCCATCTACCTACGGTCAGCTATCTTCAACAAGGGCCCAAAGTCCATCAAATGGGAAAAGACAGTCTTTTTAACAAATGGTGCTGGCAAAACTGGATATCCATCTGCAAAAAAATGAAACAGGACCCATACCTCACACCA